AGGCTAATTTCACAAAATAAGCAAGTAACTGAAAATGTAATTTTTTCAGATGTTACCGTAAACAAAGGGTTAATTCGGCATGTTGTACAAGGTTGCTGCAACTACAACATGTCTTTTCATAAACTAGGGGTCCAGACGGTTAAAATGATCGAGACCAGTCCCAGCTTGTTATACCTCCGGTAGGGGTGCACTTAATTTTTTGGGTCTCGGTCACTGCACTATAAACGTTTGTATGCAGATGGAGGAAGAAGACTAGATGTAGATTTTGAATGCCTATAATAATACAGGTATTTGTTCTACTTGTAGAGGTTCGTCTGAAAGACTATGGGAGTAAGTTGATCGAAGTGATAGACAATGGTTGTGGTGTGAGTGACCTTAATTTCCAAGGGTTAAGTAAGTAAATATATATTATAATGTATAAATAAATGTCATATATATATATTAGTTTATATTTTATATGTGCTTATTATTATGTCAGACTCCAAATTGTTCTAATACAGATTTGATCCAAATTGAATGGAATTTGTTATGTGGACACAGATATATAGGTAGTCATGTGTTTCTTTGTGCATAATTGGGTAAAATGTATCAAATGGATATAGTAATGGTTGTTCCAATTGATCTAACTGTTTGAAATAATTTACAGCATTGAAACATCATACCTCAAAACTCAAAGCATTTTCCGAACTTGTTGGAGTGGAAACTTTTGGGTTCAGGGGTGAAGCCCTTAGTTCTCTCTGTGCTTTAAGGTAAGTCAGCTAGAGACACCCTTGATTCTTTGTTATCTTGTTCTCAACAATTGCTTTGCAGGGTCTCTGCGGGTCATGGAAAGTATGGAAAGTCATGGAATTCAATTCTGAAAAATTCCAGGCCCTTGAAATGTATGGAAAATTATATATGTCCGTAAAAGTCCTGGAAAGTCATTGAAAAATAATTCCGCAGCAGAATTTAATTAAAAATTGCGGTGCTGCATGGGAAAACTACATTCGAAACAACATCGGATTGCTTTTCTAAACCCGATGCACAATATACATATATATAGTTATTTACGGTAATATCATGTACAGTCTGACCTCCTTTATCCGGCAATCCGTTATCCGGAAATCTCTATTAACCGGCTGCGATCACGCAGTGTATGTTCTCTGTTTTTAGCTCATCTGACATAGTCAGATGCAGCTTGTAGAATTGCATGATTGTCCGTGCATGCGTCCGTGCGTGCGTCCGTCCGTCAACAGTTGGGCACAAATCTAAACGGCTCGACGTACGGATTCGAAAGTCGGGACGTAGTGGGGTAATCTGAAAACGAGTTGGGATGTTGAAGCTGGAGGTCAAAGGTCAAGAGGTCTAAAAGAAGGGGGAACATTCCCTCCTTAACTTAAGGTATAGGGAGGAAATGCAGAATTGCGGCACAAATCTAAATGGCTCAACCTATGCTCTTAATATTCGGTGTATAGTGTGATGGGCAGGAAACCCACCAGTGCGAAATTGGAGGTCACAGGTCAAAGGGCAGTGGGGGAAAGGTCGGATATCAGACATTTTCTGAAGACATGGCCTAACGGACAGAGTGAAAAACTTTTTTGTTTCAGCGCTGACCTACCATTTTTATCACTTTATTGAAAGGACCATGAAATGTGCTTTCCACTGACGTGCGAAGAGTAAGTGTCTGATAATCTTTTGACCCTCAAAAGGAGGGTTAAACGTGGATTCCTGAACTGCCTCAATGATGTCACAGTGTTCTCATATTCATGGCACATCCATAATCTAGAAAGCCAATATGTCTGGATAGCCCAACGGGTACAGCACAGGATTATGGCACGGGATTTTTTATTATTTACCTGTTTTCTGTATTTTTCTATCTATCCATTTAACTATTTTTTCCCAATTAACTCAAATATTTACATGATTTATTTACATCAATTTAATAACAACAAATAATTTTTACAATTAAATATTTTTTCATAGGAGTTTCAGGCACGCGATTTGTATCAACCAATGGGATTTGGGAGTTATGCAGAATGCAGAAGGTTGCTGAAATGATGTGTAAGCAACTGCGTATCTGTATATATCATATCTGCACCTAACAAATGTGTCACTACGCACGACTGAAATTTTACGTTCATAACCGTAGCAACACACCTCAGATGAGCCCAGTCCCTCTGCGGCTCTTGTTTCATTCATTTCCACCTAAAAATCTCGCTCAAAACTCGCTCTAAGCTCGTTCAAAACTTGCGCGATGTACCAACCGTACGTGTGTTTGCGTGTGTGTGTGTGTGTGTGCGTGTGTATGTGGGTGTGTGTGTGTGTGTGTTGTCCGCTCGTGTCCGCTATGCCTCCGGACAACTTTCGTCCGTTACCGAGCAACTTTTACTAGCGGACGTTAGTGAAACGCACTACTGCGCTACGCATTCGCGATTGATCGAGCCCCGTACTTCAATCAAAGGCGCCGCTGCCGCCGAATACGCGAGTGTATCGATCGTTACAGCCCTAGATCTCAGCACAAAAGAAACAAACATAAACCGAGCTCAGGTGGTAAAATGTCTGTTTTATTTCATTTTATTTCCATTTCATATAAACCATAAAACACGACATGCAGTTTGTTACAAATAATCATAGCAACGAGTAAATACATTATCACATGCATAAACCCTACTGAACTGCATAGAAATGCTGTGTTTGAGCATAATTCTCATATCCGGCCAAATCCCATATCCGGATGGGTGCCGGGGCCGGATAAAAAAGGTCGGACTGTACACAGTGCATGGTCTGTAGTACAATTGAAACGTCGCCATTGATTGGCTGCCTGATAACGCTCTCAACCAATGAGCGATACTGTTTGAAGCAGATTAGGTCTCGATGTATTTCCTGCCGAGAAAAGAAAGATGAAGTTGCTTATATTGATGCAGAAGCTGTCTAAAAATTCTCAGGAAAGAAATGAGACATACTGTGTTTCATGTTGCCAGGTGGTTATAAAAACCCAACACTTTAACTTTAGAGAAAGAAGACAAAACAGAGTAACAACATGTTTAGTGTCATGGCGCCCAGCCCAGAGAGACGTTCTTTTATTTACCGCTTACATCACTGACAACTTCCTGTAGGTCGATGATGTCATTGTGATAATCCACATCGCGATAGGCGCCGACATCATGAACGCCATACCTAACTACTATTTAACTGAACAATTTTTATTTTAGGACAAATGCGGCCATATTAAAACTAAAAATAATAGTGGTTTACAAGATATTGCAATCCTTCGCCTCTTAGATTAATAAATAACAAACCTCGGTCTGTAGCCTGCAGCCAAAAAGTTGTGTTGCGCAACTTTGTCAGTGGATGTGCTTGTAGTGGCACCACCATTGTTGTAAACAACAGTATAGCCGTCAGTTTTAAAACAATTACAAGAAATATTCTAATGAATATTGAACAATGACATTTTTGAAACCTATTTTAACTGAAAATATGCAAGGAACCTAGCTAGGGTCATGTGTTCCTTTAAGTTGACATTTTTAACATATGCTATGGTTAGGGTTAGGGTTATTCGAAACTATTTATATCTAGTTAATCGTAGTATTTGTGTGTGTAGAGTATGTATGGTTTTGAAAATAAATTTGAATCTAAAACATTGCATTTGTGTTATCACTACAGTGATGTAGTGATTACAACTTGCCACGAATCGTCCGCGATTGGAAGCAAGCTAACATATGGTCATGGTGGCGATATCTTGGGTAACATTCCATGCCCACGACAGGTTTGTGAAGTATCTAATAGTGTTGCTATATATATATTATTATTATTATTGTAATTTATTTGTATGACACGTTTTCATAATGCAACTTATGCTTTCAATAATTTTAGTGCTTTTTTAGCTCATCTGACATAGTCAGATGCAGCTTGTAGAATCACATGAGCGTGTGTGCGTGCGTCTGTGCGTCCGTCCGTCCGTGCGTCCGTCCGTCAACAGTTGGGCACAAATCTAAATGGCTCGTCATACGGATTCGAAAGTCGGGACGGGGGTGGTAATCCGAAAACGTGTTGGGATGTTGAAGCTGGGGGTCAAAGGTCCCTTAAGTTAAGGAGGGAATGTTCCCCCTTCTTTTACACCTCTTGACCTTTTTATAGGGAGGAAATGCAGAATTGCGGCACAAATCTAAACGGCTCGAACTAGGTCACGATAGTCGGTGTATAGCATCATGGTAGGAAAAGCCATCATTGTGCCGAAATTGGAGGTCACAAGTCAAAGGTCAATGGTGCACAAGGCAGATTTTAGACATTTTCTGAGGACATGGTCTGACGGAGCGATTGAAAAACTTTTTTGTTTCAGCGGTGACCTACCATTTTTATGGGGCTTTATTGAAAGGACCATGAAATGTACTTTCCGTTGACATGCGAAGAGTAAGTGTCAGATAACCTTTTGACCCTCAAAAGGAGGGTTAAACATGGATTGTTTACTGTCTGTTAGAAAGAATTTGACTGCCGGGTTTGCTAGTAGAATCTATTTCATGCCTGGAGTGATGAGGCTACAATGTCACAGTGAAATTTCCAAAGCTAAATTTGGTTGGAGAAGGTATGCTCCTTAAATCGTATAATTTCTATGGCATTCTGTACATGTCAGTGTGTTACATGTAATCGTATGCCACTGCCAGTGCATGTGGTGGTGATATTACTGGTGAGTTTTGGCCTTGCATTAATTAGTTACAGGTGGCAGCTCTCTATTTGAGCCTGTAGGCTTGCGTAGGTAAATTGGAGTGAGTGCTTACCTATTCTGTCTTGCCAATAGTTGTTGCTATACGTACATGGAGCTCCCTCTTTAACCTTAAGACACTAAAACGTACGCGCCATCTCGGCGCAACTTTTATAACGATCCCAACGAACATTCCTTTGAGAAGGCTTCCTTGATACATCCCTGTGCCTTCACTGTTTCGGCATGTATGTGACACATTTGGGACTCACAATAACGAGGGTTTACTAGAATCCCACCACTCCACCACAGAGTCACCGCAGTAGACTTTAGATGAGCGCTGTCGCTCCGCGGCTTGCGCTCCGTCGCTCCTCCAACTCTTTTCTGTTTCTGAGAAATAAGAATAAAAACATTTTTATATAAATTCACAATTTTTGCAATCACTTAATTATCGATGAAGTTTTTTTTGATTATTGTCATTGAGAGTGTAGGAAGACGTCTCTTTTATGAAATAGATATGAGTTTGATTGAAATTGATGAGTATTTATGTTGCAAAACCTTTTACAGAGGTACCTGTCCGTAACCCTGACTGTATCCTTAAGAATATTATGTTGTTTTTGTGTTTCACGTTTAGAAGGGAACGACAGTTAGTGTTGCTGAGATCTTCTCTACACTGCCTGTTCGCCATCGAGAATTCACAAAGAATGTCCGCAGAGAGTTCACCAAGATGGTATCTGTGCTAAATGCGTATTGTGTCATATCGACAGGCATCCGCCTCTCCTGTTCCAATCAAGTGGGCAAGGGGTAAGTAAGCAATTAAACTTTAGGCCATGGCTACGCTTCCGGTTACCGGACGCCTAGCTCCCAGGCTACGCATCTGGTCATCCATTTCTTATGTGATCCCAACTATATTTTTTCATTAAAAAACACAAAACGGTAATTTTTACCATATTAATACTTACGTTTATGTATTTTATTAAAAAAATGTGTTTTTGTAACTCTTGAAACAATAGTAAATCCAGTAGAATCAACGATTTGAAAGGGGGTGTGGCCTAATTGTGGCGTAGATTTGGGGCACTTGTCATAGCATACACGATACGCACCAGTGCGGTTTTTGTTGTGAAGCAGTAAAATAAATAGTAGAAGTCTGTACGAAATTGACCACAAACAACGCAACTCAAGCGTTTTCATGCAACCATTTGTTTCTAACACCTGATGATCTCGTGTGAAATGGAGGACTGGATGCGTAGCCTGGGAGCTGGGCGTCCGGTAACTGGACGCGTAGCCACTTTGTAAACTTTAACACATAAAAGTGGGGGTGGGGGAGCAAACCCGCATCATGTCTTATGTGTGGTTATGATCAGGGATGAGATCTCTCCTTGGAAAAGAACATGTACAGGACAAGAAAACATTCTAAAAGTCAACTAGGTCTAGTTGTATTCCCCACAACGAAGTCGGCGGGGATACTATGGTTTCATGTCTGTCCAGCCGCCGCCGCAGACACTTTCCCTTCCGCTCTATAACTCGACTCCTAATTGACCTTGCGTGACCAAACATAGTCTACTTACACATCTTGGGCAGAAGGTGCGCAGCGTACCAAAACCAGGTCACGACAACCTTTATTTGACCTTTACTTTGACCTTGATCATATTTCCCTTCCTCTCTATAAGTCGGCCCCTAATTGACCTAGCGCTACCAAACTTGGTATACTTACACATCTTGGGGAGAAGGTATGCCGAGTACCAAAACTAGGTCACTGCGACCTTTATTTGACCTTGATCATATTTCCCTTCCGCTCTATAACTCTGCCCCTAATTGACCTAGCGCTACCAAACTTGGTATACTTACACATCTTGGGGAGAAGGTGCGCAGCATACCAAAACCAGGTCACTAATACCTTTATTTGACCTTTACCTTAACCTTGATCATATTTCCCTTTCGCTCTATAACTCAGCCCCTAATTGACCTAGCGCTACCAAACTTGGTATACTTACACATCTTGGGGAGAAGGTGTGTCGCGTACCAAAACCAGGTCACTGCGACCTTTATTTGACCTTGACATTGACCTTGATCATATCAGGCATCGAATTTGGCAATTTGCCTCTGACAGCAAGTCTAGAAAACCGAACACGTCGATTTTCTGTGAAAAATCATAAGTTATACGGCTAAAAGATAATGATATTGATTAACATATATACAATTATTTCTTTATTATGGTATCAAATATGAATAAAACCAAGATGGTACAATTAATATTAAAGTTTTTGTCAATTTAAAATATTTACATGTAATAAAATACAAAAAGTCCAGACTCAGAGCAGCAGTGAGACACATTGTTAGATTATTTAATCTAACAATTGAAGACTATCTGTCATAGAAATATTGATTTAAATTGCACAGTAGTGGGGACTGACTCAGCAGCATACACAGGTTTCTGATTAAAATTGCACAGTGACGTAGTAATCGACAAACATTGAAAACATGAAGAATATATACAAAATACTAGTAGTAAAATCACACTGAACCGTGTTGATTAATACTATTCTGTGGGATAGGGTGACTGTTTGCATGTACTTGTGTGTATATTTTGTGTATATAAGTATCCGATGCTTGGACGAATATCCACGATATATATGTCCTTTAAGGACGTGGATATTCGTCCGAGCATCGGATACTAGTTCGGTGGCGCTATTCGTCCGAGCATTGTTGCGCATCACTACGAAAGGTTATACACCATAGATTAATTTTGGTGCTATGACACGTGTATATAAGATAACCGAGTCGGTTTAGAGTTAGTGTTAGTGTTAGTGTTAGGGTTTGGGATAGGGGTAGGGTGACTGTTTGTACTTGCGTGTATATTTGTAATATCCACGTCATTAAATTATACATCTGACGGCATTTAGCTACTAAGTGCTACGACGGCATTTACTTGCCGCCGATACAGACTACCTCTGACGGCAAATCAATATGTTCCGGCGGCAAATGCCGTCAGTTGCCGTCGTAAAATTCGATCTCTGCATATTTCCCTTCCGCTCTATAGCTCAGCCCCTAATTTACCTAGCGCTACCAAACTTGGTATACTTACACATCTTGGGGAGAATGTGTGTCGCGTACCAAAACCACATCACTGTGGCTTTTAGTTGACCTTGACCTTGACCTTGATCATATTTCACTTCCGCTCTATAACTCGGCCCCTAATTGACCTAGCGCGAGCAAACTTTGTATACTTACACATCTTGGGGAGAAGGTGTGTCGCGTACCAAAATCCTTAAAGCAACCAATTTTAACATACTTGCACATCTTAGGCAGATGAGTTGTGTAACAAACCTTTATCTTTGTGACTTATTTAACTTTACCTACCTTCTACGTCCTTACAGAGATATTTCATTCATACTAGATCATGGGGGATACATGTAGTTGGCGACAACTGCCCTTTCTAGTTACAAGTTGGGAACTGTAGGGACGAATGAATTATTTTATCACAATTATTACAAAAATCAACAACGATATGATTTTGGATGCTGTTTATGAGGATTTTTTACATGCTACATATATATGGCATTTACGTTAGCTTTGTATGTAATTTTAATACCATCTCGGTGCTTTAACATGATTAAAATTCATGGGTTTCCCCTAACCAAGGTTTCATCCTGGACCCTGTCTTTTTCCTCTTAAAATGAAATTCTCCATTCTTGTCCCTGTACACTGCAAATTGCTGTAGAAACCTGCTCTATATGCAAGATCATTTGTCCCACCACTTTGTCCTGACGTGATTTTAAATTTATACGTTAAGCCCGGCGCACACGTGAGTAATTTTACTCAGTGAAATGATGCATGCGTCAAAATACTCACGTGTGCACCAGATTTTCTTTGAGTTTTCTGATGCATGCATCAAAAACTCAATATCAAACTTGTTTGATAATTTTTGCATCGTGCGTCAAAATACTCAACGTGTGTATAGTCTCTGATGTTTTATCGGAAGACAAAATGTGGATTTTTGGCCCGATTATGAATGCTTATACGTCGTTAGTAGCCCAGATTTTAAAGATGGGGAGAAAAGGGAGCAAGCAAACCACAGTAAAAGAAAACAAATTCTTCAGAGGCAGACGAACTATCGGTATCTGCCATTTTGTACAGTCACATGATCTACATTACCAGTTATACCTAGAGTAATTTTACTCACGTGTGCGGCGGACGCTGAAAATGTTTCACGTGAGTATTTTGACGCATGCATCATTTGACTGAGTAAAATTACTCACATGTGCGCCGGGCTTTAAGCCTAGCGCAGACTTGCGACTTTTGGTTGCTCGTCGCTGCAACCTGCAACCGCAAGCAATAAGTCACACGCTTTACCGCGTGTGCGCATGCAAGCGACTGCCTACCATTTGGCGAAAAAATGGCTCTGGTCATGTGATTTGTTAAAAATGGCAGTGCTCAGTCATAGCAGGTGACTTACAGCTGTGGCTGGGATTTTCATGATAATATTAATAATGCGTCGCGGCAACGTCGAAAGAAACCAGATGGCAGGAGAATGTGGATTAGAGACTGGCTGGCAAGGAGGGAAAGTCTCGGATTTTTAGCTCAGCTGACGAAGTCAGATGCAGCTTGTAGAATCGCATGAATGTCCAGCCGTCCGTCCGTCCATCCGCCCGTCCGTCTGTCCGTGTGTCAACAGTTGCGGCCCAAATCTTAACCGTACGACGTACGATCTTGATATTGGGGACGTCAGGGGGGGGGATCGCAAAAAGGACTCGGGATGTCGAATTTGGGGGTCAAGGGTCAAAGGTCAAGATGTGTCAATGGAGGGGGAATATTTCCCCCTTAACTTAAGGTATAGGAGGAAATACGGAATTGCGGCACAAATCTCAACGGCTTGACCTACGCTCTTAATATTCGATGTATAGTGTGATGGGGAGGAAACCCATCACCAGCGCGAAATTGGTCACAGGTCAAAGGGCAGTGGGGGAAAGGTCAGATATTAGACATTTTCTGATGACATGGTCTAACGGACCGAGTGAAAAACTTTTTTGTTTCAGCATTGACCTACCATTTTTATCACTTTATTGAAAGGACCATGAAATGTGCTTTCCGCTGACGTGCGAAGAGTAAGTGTCTGATAACCTTTTGACCCTCAAGAGGAGGGGTAAACACGGATTTGTTGACTGTTAACAAAGGACTGAACTGCTTTTGCTATTAGAGCCCCCTCCACCCGCCCCTTCCCCTCCCCCACCCTCCTCCCACCACCACTACGCTCGCTCTCGACGTATATCCATGATAAACATGTTAATATAGTGAAGTCATTAAAGTTACACAGCTGTATCTTTAATACTGTACTACCGGTATAGCAAAGCCTATCATAGATTTTAGATCTGTATTAGTAGTATCCTAGATATATGCTCTGAGCGCGAACGCGGTGGCGGGAGGGCGCACTTGATTCGGTTGCCAGTGAGTTTATCAGAAGAATACCCGGCTACAGTACACGTCAGTTGAGCGCTGTCGCTCTGCGGCACTTGTTCAATACTATCCTAAAAGAACTTGAGCTGGAAGATAGTGTGTCCTATCACCGGTATTTCCGAATGAAAAAGGAAAAAGAACTGCTATGTTCCGGCAAAGTTATATCAAATACCCTCACTCCAAGTTGTTGCTGTGAGCGTAGCCATATTGAAATATCACGTGATGAGATGGTGCTCGCTGACTGGTCGGACGAGAATTTTTCATCGTTGCAAGTTGCTGTCTACCTGCACACATGTGATTTCGAAGCGATTTCTGAGCGATTGGGAGCGACGAGTTGCTCAAAATTAAAATGGTTTAATTTCTTGCAACTCGTCGCAAGCAACCAGAATCACTATGGGTCGCAGTTGCACGTTCCCTCCCCCCCTTTTGTGATTTCGCAGCAATTTCGACTGCGATTCTAGAATCGCTGTTGAGATGCATGAAAAAGTCGCAGTTATGCCGTCTGCGCTAGGCTTTGTTTTGAACATGCAGATTTTGAACAGTTAGTAACAGGATATATGGTGAACAAATGTAATAACTTCACTGTACTTACATTTCTGAGTTTTATTCTAGTCTAAATGACGCTTACAGATACATGTACATAATACACTGTCACTGAACAAAATAAATTAACTAAACCCCACATTCTTAAAGTTAAAATAATTTTAGGAATCCCATTATAAATTAAAAAGTAAAGAAATACATTAAGTATACAATTTATATTAATTAAACACACATTTACATTAACAAACAAACATCAAATCATGTATTCTCGGGTAAACTCTCTTCTGGCTCGGGAATCTATTCAACAGGCTTTGGCAAGTGGCTTCACACATTTGGCAAAGGAAACGGACAGAAAGCTACATAAATGACTGAGCTTTTCTGCACACTTTGGCAAAAACCTTGCTCACTGGCAAAGCACCTTTTGCATGACTGACATACTTGTAACCACACCATTCTTTACGTAATGATAACGTCAGCACAGAAAATTACTGAAGTAGCCCAATTGCTAACTCTCGTTCTCTAGATTTACCCTTATATTTAAGACATACACACATTTATATAATATATATATATTTATGTATATATAGATAGATATAGATATATTATATTTACTTTCGATACACGCCCAAATGTACTTTTAAGGCCACACCAGCTGCCTTCCGAATATTAGTGCTCAAGTTCAAGTATACATAATAAAATAATGTTCCTCACTTTTCAAAGTTTGAGGAATAATATATATATGCATATTGTACAGCAAAGTCTTCTAATTACTTACTGTCACATGCTGACTAACCACACCTGTGATGTACATGAATATACATACAAGTAGAAAAATCTCGTGGCACAGGAATGTTTTGATTGAATGAAGTGAGCTCAACTGTAAATAAACAATTAACATTTATATCTACGTTCTTCTACATGTTGCACATATCCCATAGGTGATCATATATCTGCTTGACTCGTCTTGATCTCTGTGAGATTGTTAAATAAGCTAAATGCACATTGCACATTTATATACAACAAAATTATATGCAACGCAGTGAATTGTGCATTTATAAGCTATTTCACAAAGAAAATAGTTTATAGAGCCATTCAACATTATTGATAAAATTATACAAATATATGGCTTCCATATAAAGTAAATCTATTGAAATGATATTTATCACTACTATCTCAATCGTGTTTTACATAATAGAACCCAAACCGATTTCATGATATATATTGGAAAAAGGACATAAAAGTATAATGTCTTGATATAAATACTGAAGTAATTTCATGTAGAGGCTCAATGATTCATCTGTTTTCACGTACATTACATAGGTAAAGAATAGTCTCCCTGTAATATTCATATTTGTGACAGTTAGCTCTTTGGTTTTGTTGAGTGACGTTACAATTGACCATATCTTGGTACCTAGTGATCAATGCAACAGTAACGTTTTGATCGATTTACAGTAAATGCATTTGATGACTATATAATGTTCGACTGACTTCTCAATGCTACACAATTTTATGCACATGAGACTGATTCTAGTACTAGCTCCCTGCAATGTCTTCTTGCACCAGTTACCTCGTAGAAATTACCACCTCTAGTAGAGTCGATCTTAAACAATGTTTTTCTGCAGTTTCAGTAGAGTCTTACTGCTCTTATGTGGGTTTCAAAGCCTGCGAGTTTTGATAAATATCCAATTGCACAAGAGGTGCCGATTCTTTGTGAAGTCATCTGCGATAGTGAACTGTTTCATTGAGACATGTTAAAGGTGTTCCATCATATGAGAATACAGATGAATACAGTTTGCTTCTGAATCAGCTGCTGGTTATTCATCCGTGATGATGAAATGTGTAAGGTAACACCCTCTATTTCATCATGGTATCTTGATTTGTACAAAACTACTGTCTCGATTTGGATGGGTGTATTCCTTAGCTTTGATTTTGCACATAGCTTCTAGGATGCAGGTGTGTGGACACTGGAAGAAGTGAGCCTGTCCGACTGCGGCATGGCATATTATGTAGGCTGTGGCTACGCGTCTAGTTATCGGACGCCCAGCTCCCAGGCTACGCGTCTGGTCATATATTTCTTATGAGAACCAAACTACATTTTTTTCAGTAAAAAAAAATAAGCAAAAAGTGTTTACCATAATATTACTTATTCTTGTAACTTTTGAAGCAATGGTAAATCCAGTAAAATCAACAATTTGAAAGGGGGCGTGGCCTAATCATCACGTGGATTTGAGAATCTGTGCTGAGCTTTGTAATGGATGACCGTGCCAATAGCCAGCTCTTGCCCCCCGATTTCCCCCTAATGTATGTAGGACATTGAGAGCCTCGGCATGTGACATCTCTCCCTCATCCCAGTGAAAAGGTTACAGTATTTTTCACGATGCACGTTGCCACAAACAGAATCACCATCATTACCATGTGAGGACGTCGTTAGAAGCCTTACATTCCAGTTTGACACACCCTCGCCAAGCAGGTAGTTGCCTGTGTTTCGTCTGGTAGCTAGCAAATTTGCAGTGCACGATTATGGTGGTGAGCACCGGCCACAGCCCTGTTGAAGTCATTCGCGTCGGCTGTGCAATTGGCATCCTCGTGTGTTGCGGTGGTGTCGCAGGCACCGGTGGCCCGCACTTTCTCCTCTTCTGTTTTCTCCTCCCCCACGCTCATGCTAGCATTGAGATAGCTCTCGTCTTCACCCCTGTTGGCACTTTTGCTCATCGTTGTCGTGACGGCATTGTCACTGTTGTTGCCAGGTAATATGTCACAGTTGACAAAGGGCGGTTTAATGTCGGACCCATGCAACGCAGCATGCGGCGATTTAACATTGCCCTCATACGTGGCCGAGTCGCTAGCACTTTTTGGACTTTCACCACCAAAGTCTATCGTTGAACTGTTTGAGATATTGCTGTCATGAGGTGGTGGCACATAGCACGGCTCTGCTTGGTGGTTCAGGCTGTCCGTGCAGGGAAGCAAGATAAATTCATTGCGATTCTGATGCAATGGCTCACGATGGTGGATTTCGGCGTGCGTTGGTGTGGAATTGTATGGCTCGTGGTCCGACAGCCTTTGCTTGTCGCCGTGGCTCTCACAGTGCGGTGCTGCATACTGCTCATGTTGTAGACCGTGCTGTGGCAGCTCATTTTGAACATCGTCGAGGGATCTTACTGGCGCCAGTGGTGTAAAGTCCTGCAAGTGCTCGCTGTAGTGGCTGGGTCCCAGCGGGTTACCACCAACAAGGCTATGCGAGGGGCCAAGGGGCGGGGCAGGACCGAGCGGGGGAAAACCGCCCCAGGCCATGTCGCTCTCGTGCGTCTGCCTGTGGTGCTCGAAGCTGCACCAGTCATTGTAGATGAGGAAGCAGATGTCACAGCGGTACGCCATGTCTTCGACGTGGGGCTTCGGTGTCTCGTGCGGGTTTGTCGTCTCCCCATGGTTGGACTCGTCACTGTGCGACATCACATCTCCAGATTCATCTGAGAAATTGCGCCTGCGAGAAGAGAATGTGTCAACGTTAGGCGCATCAGCCTGTTAACTGGTGTCATCCTTTTCCCGCTAGCAATACTACGGCTGAGACGAGCGTTTATTTCTAATTGATCTAAACAGGTTTCTCAGTTGAAACTGTAAAGCACCTACGCGTTATATTTCCTTTAAATTGATCAGGGATTCGATAGTCGCAACAGCTAAGATTCTGGATTCCAAGGTCAATCAGTTTTGCCCCTGATAGCTTACCCGTCTGCTCCATGGCCTGGCGGTTGATTCTGAGCATGGATGAGCATCATGTGCTGCTGAAAGCTGCTGCCGTTGGTGAAGATCTCGGAGCACATGTGACATCGGAGTGGCTTCAGTTCTAGCATCTCCTCATACCTTCCTGACATTTCTGACGTGAACAATGAGAACACTGATTGGTTGGCTTGCATATTTTTTTTTTCATGTGACTTATCTAATACTAGAACTATTACTAGCTTGGATGCTCAGCTTGTGGTGCATCATGCCTATGCTGGAAAATGAAAATCTATCTCCAATCCTTATCTACAAGCAGTCCGCCCAGTTAATGCTTACACGGGCACGTAACAGATACGTTTCGTAACAGAATTGGACTGCTCACTTGTCTGTGGATTGCAATAGCATTTGTCAAACAGACCATATGTTGTGTAAGGCTGTCCAGTTAAAAGAAAACATTTGGCTATTCTTAGCACAGGACTTCGACATCAATGTAAGCCCATGTAACATTCAACAATCTCCAGTTTACAAACTTAAAATTTTTGCCAATGTGTAGCGAGTAACGAGATGAATTTTGACCTAATGCCAAATGGCCTGCAGTGTGGCTGGTGCCAGTTGCTATGACTTTCACTCTGAACATTCCGCTTGGTCGTTTAAATTCATAATTTCTAGAATTATCTACTGTTTTCCCCACTTTTATAATACCTACCATTATTGCCTGAGTAACAGCAATATAGACAATATATTGAGTAACAGTAATATTATATATATATAATATTGAGTAACAGTATAGACAATAGAGTAACGATAAAATGTATTAGAACCTTCGTATTCACCAAAAAGTTTCAAACTCGTTTGACAATTACCACTGCCTTTTTTTGTAATCTTGGACCAGTTCGTAGCTCCAGCTATCGTCCATACACATAGGCGAGATTTTTTTATTTTGTTGGTTTACAGATCCGCCAACCAGAATTTTCAAGACAAACGAAAAAAAATAAAAATTGAAAATCTGTATTTTTTTTATTCCCGCCGACCTTTTCTCTAAGAAATATGAATAAAAAAAATGTAAATGTAAAAAACAATTTTTTTTATAAACAAACAGTTTATAATAAAAGTAAAAATAATTACAAGTTGAGTTTTGTTTTCATTTAGTTTTCTTAAAATACTTTAATATCATGTATAACAGTATCACTGTATTTTAACTTGTTTGATCTGACAAAACGACAATTATTTTTTTTTACCCTATTGAGTCAACAACAACAAAAATTCTGTGAACCAACAGAAAAAAAAGGTCGCCTTACATGTCTCTTGCACAATCTCGTTTGCACCGTACAAGTTGACCCATTTAACAAATCTCGCGACTCGATGTTATTTTCGTTGTGTTACGATGTTCCAATCCAATTTTCTATGCTACAACTGCATAAAATCTTAGTGTTTTTCAAGTTAGTGTAATCAGTGATAAATCCGCTATGAGGTGAGACTATATTTCGCTATATATTTTATTCGAATTTAGCTTTTCTGAGCAAGAATCTCGTAATAAAAACTTGGTCTGAAACACACATTCTTCATAGTAGCTGACTTCCATACCATGTGGCGAGGAGTGCCCATTATATCTCAGGTGCGCTGTAGGATCAACCTTCCTGTTGTGGACGTGAGAGGACACCTTTCGTGGGGTGCTACTGCCATTTCCGCCTCCCTGGGCCCTCTCTCTCTCCCGCTTCACCTTGGCTCGAGCATTTTGAAACCAGATCTGCGTCACTCGACGTGTGTGCCCGATCTGCAGCGCAATCTTTTCCAGCGTGTCTCCAATGGGGTTCTGAATGCAGCAGTCCGACTTTTACTTCCAGTTATACGACATGCACATCAAACACTACATGCAACATGCACTCGAACAATGTATTGCCAAACAGATTAAAGGTTATGGCAGAGGACTTCAAGTGTGTTGGACTTCTCGTCAAGGACTTCACTTTCAAAGTGTCAGGGAAATGAGTTGTGAGAATACTGGCAACACAGAAATATAGACGTAAGGAATATTCGTCAATTACAAACTATAATACAACTGAAATGAGAAAATTTAAAGTGGATGATATTTGACATATAATTCATTGTTACATGCTCACATATGGGTAGAACTAGGGTCCCTGTATACAGAGAGTTGCGCCAACTCAGGATTTGACGCCATTTTGTTTCCAAATGGATCCTCACCGCTGCCGCTTAAGTACAGCATTGTATGGATACGCTGTACAATGGTCCGTAGTAATTAATTAGACTAATCGTGCTTCAATAAACTCAAAATTTACAGAGATTATAGCTAAGACATGTGTCTATGTGTATCTAGATTTCTAGAAATGTAACTCGAATCGTTCGCGCCATATGATAATTTAATTGTACACTTTCTTACGGCCATAGCCGTGCGTATCCATTTGGAAACAACATGTCGGCCAGCGACCACGTGACCGATTTTTTCCGACTCGTCATGGCGCAACTCTGTATATATAGGGACCCTAGGTAAAACTGGAGGGAGGGAGGAAGGGAAGATAGAGCAACTCCTGCATACTTAAAATAATCTAAAATGTGTGCGAAATGTTGCTAATGTGGCCACAAATTAAAATTTAACGATTCCCATTTTTAATTTAACATTCAGATAAATGTTATGCTCATTACCCTATATTTTCTGTTGAACATGTATGTAGGAGGAAAACTCCTATAAAACCAGTGTTTCTACAGTTTGTGGCAACCCATATATAGCATGCAGTCAGCATCCAGTGCTCGTGATGAAAGCACTCAGTACTCTTATTTTAACTCCAATAAAATGCATATCTAAGAAACCTTGTGTATAAAACGTCAAATTCCTAAAATCTATATATTATGTGAGATTGCAAGACTGATATTGTTTCTAGCCCACTGTACCACTTCCATCCACCACTCGACGTTTTCTAGCATATCCCTGGTGTAGTGAATGTGTTTAGGCTATAACCAATGCAGTTTATTATACCTTTACTGTATAGTTAGTGTAAATAATAAAATATATGTCAACTCTTTATCATATGGATTTATGAGGGTTTTCAAAAATAAATATTTTAGAATGCCATATTTGGTAATACATTGTGCACCTAGAGCAGTAAATGTAAGAGAAAGAGGAAGTGGAAAGACGAGGAAGAATGAGCATGAAAAAGGGGAGAGGAGTGGAGTATCATGGGAACAAGAGTGGAAGTAACTGGGAAGAGAATGGGAATATTTTAGGTCATATTCTACAGCAACAATGACTACAGAACTGGAACCAAGCATTAAGCCAACTGAATGTAGTAGGCAGAAGACAGAAAATTTGCTTTTTAAAATAAGAGAAGAGATGTAAGGAAACAACTACATGCTAAAATCCATTGCCATTAAAAAAAGACAATTGCTGCTGCCAGGTTGACTCAAAACAATCTCACATAAAATTCTGTTATTGTTGGACTTGGACTTGTCCTGTTATGACTGGACGAATAATGTAACAAATGTCGAATAATTATGAAAATCATTCATAAACCCAAGCACATCATGATATCGCTATGGAAACAATAACAATGGACATGGGACTAAACGTATTAAAATGGAATTTTAAAGGATGTAAACATACAAATCGTTAGAGCGGCTATGTCAGCAAAGCAATCATTTAATAATCTCCTGAGTTTTCCTTGGACAAATATCTCTATACTTGTGCATCACATAGGATCGCTGGTTTACCTGGTTGCGACTGAAGTGCGTTTGCAGTACACGAGTCTGTTCGTCCGTAAACGAGGTGCGCACACGCTTTGGCTTTCCGCCACTATGGTCATCCCTGTCACGGCGAGAGCGTGTGCTGCCTCCTGGTGGGAAAGTTGAGAACGCCAGCGGAGCAGAGTAGCCATATTTATCCTGGCTTTCCTCACTGTCCTCTGTAATAATAGATAAAGTAGATAGATTAGCATACATGTATGTATGTTAAAATAATAGGCCATAATATAGCCACGACAATCTGTACGTTTCAGAAACCAGTCAAGGGATGGTAAAATTAAATAGTGCTGATGCGTTTTACGTGTAAAGGAAGATCATCATATAATGAATAGTTGTTAAGTAAATTTAATAAATTTGCTTTCCCACCTGCTCTATAATTTTGTTTCTGCACAGTGGCTTGTGTGCAGTGTACTTGTGTGTTGCAGAGAAGCATTTGAACGGAATTTACAGGAAATTATTGGTAATAATGGGCGAAAGAGCGTAGAGAAACAGGTTTGGTAGTAATATACATTTCGTGTTTACTTACCATCATTTTATTATTGAAAAGTTCCAAGTGCCCGTGCACATACACACCCACTACATACAACGACTAACACAGGCACGCACGAATATACTTTGTGAGGGGGCAGGTTTTATACAACGACGTCCCTACATCACATCACGGGTGCATAATGACAACATAATTCGTCATTATTCACCTCTGTTCACATACATCTGCAGCGAGACACTCCCTGCTGAGAGTACGCGAGCCAGGAGCCAACCTTAACCCCCTCCGAACCCGACCCACAGTGTGTACTCGCTGGGACATCTGCCTGCGCTTGCGGTACCCGCTGTGATCCACAACAGTCACATGCACGGGCAGCAGCACTGTCTTCCCCTCTTCGGGAGAAGTATGGATTTTGCCTGTACCTACATGTACCACACCATGCCGTCAGCCTGAGCCCGCACACACACGCCTCGCTGACCCTTGAGATACTGGTACCCAGCTGTGGAGAACTGTGTTGCCATGACAACGGCGACTGCCAATCCATAAAGGTCATCGCATCTCTCCAGTACTCATTAGCTGGCGGTGATTAGCGAGCGGACCAGGTGACAGCGGGCGAACTGTGTCACCGGACATGATTTATATAGCCAGAGTTGCTCGTGTTCCCGTCTACTATCCACGGTTCCAGATCACAGCTCAGTTATTCCACAAGTCGGATCTATAAACCTCCGCACGCACTCGCGTCGTTTGTGCTCACTGTAATGATTCGGGCACGCGCACCCACTAATTAATCAGGAAGCCATGTAATTAATCAAAATCAATACATGCACGCGACGAATGCTGCTGTGCATCCCGGAATTAAATCAATATGCGAAATTCCTCTCGTTTCCGCGATTTGGAAGCAGAAGATGAGCGTGACGGCATGCAGCACGCATCTGTATATTTGCTGACACGCACGCACATGTATGCACGCTGACACTCACTCACAAACATCTATGTTTACGCGCTGACACCCACGCACTTACGCACGCACGCACGCACGCACGCACGCACGCACGCACGCACGCACACACACACCGACTCCGACTCCGACTCCCGCGGGCACACACTCACATATACATACACTGACCCACGTGGACACGCACTCACACATACATACACTGACTTACGTGGGGCGTGCCCGCGTGAGTCAGTGTATGTATGTGTGAGTGCGTGTCCACGTAAGTCAGTGTATGTATGTGTGTGATTGCGGTGCGTGCCCGCGTGAGTCAGTGTATGTATGTGTGTGAGTGCGTGCCCGCGTGAGTCAGTGTATGTATGTGTGAGTGCGTGTCCACGTGGGTCAGTGTATGTGTGTGAGTGTGTGCCCGCGTGAGTCAGTGTATGTATGTGTGAGTGCGTTCATACACATACATACACTGACTCACGCGGGCACGCACGCACACACAAACATACACTGACTCACGCGGGCACGCACGCACTCACACATACATACACTGACTTACGCAGACATGCACACACTTACTCACGCGGGCACTCACTCACACATACATATACTGACTCACGCAGACACGCACACACATACATACACCGACTTACGTGGGCACGCACTCACACATACATACACTGACTCACGCAGACACGCACACACATACATACACTGACTCACGCGGGCACGCACTCACACACATACATATACTGACTCACGCGGGCACGCACTCACACATACATATACTGACTCACGCGGGCACGCACTCACACATACATATACTGACTCACGCGGGCACACGCACACACACATACCAACACTGACTTACGCGGACACGCACTCACACATACCTACACTGACTTACGTGGACACGCTGACACGCGTGCAGGCACGCACGCGCACACTATAAACCTGTTATACAAAATGGTCGCTATTATTCGTGCTAATTCTGCACCGTGGACCAGTGTTGTAGGTAGGCACCCGTGTTACTACTATACACGCAAATGAAGGCTACCCTCCGGTGTGACAGGCCTATTTACTGTGCCGTGTGGGCAGCGGCGGAATTACCAAATAAATGTTTCGCTATTGCGACGTGCACGCATTTATAAATTATAGAAACCTCAGACGAATGCACTGAACCTAAGACGAATTACGCACTTAACTGCCTTTTCGCCACGTTCGCTGTGCCCCCTCCATCCCGCTCCCTTCCCCTACCATCATAATTTGTGGGCAATATGTTTGCAGAAGCATGAGAACTACAGAGGCCTTGGAATGTGGCCTTCCAGTAGGCACTGACCTCCGTGCGGAAGAACAACTGTCAGCTCAATATCGTGTTGCAATATTGTAAGATAACAGGTAACGGCCCTATTTACATCAATCATAACTATCACTATCAGTATCACTGATAGTGAGTAAAGGCATAATAAGCCCATTGATTATGCAATGTTGACGAATGCTAGAGTAACTGGCGCTCATAGGGTCTATGTCCCCCAGGGTACTGCCGGAACGTACCCTGGTCACTATTTGATATGGTTAGGGTTAGGATTAGGGTTAGGGTTCGGGTTCGAGTTCGGGTTAGGGTTAGGGAGTAGGCGTAGGCGACTCCCTAGACTCGTTAGTGGAGTAGGCGAGGTACGGTCCGGCATATTAGATAGTACCATGGTACGTTCCGGTATACCCCACCGTACCCAGCCTCCCAGGGTACGTTCCGGCAGTACCCCGGGGGACATAGACCCTCTCAGCGTAACTGGCACCTTGTGTAGTTAATAAGTACATAACCTTATAGTTATAGCCAAACGCCTATTAGTTTGTCCAATATCACTGCTGGTTGTTGATATGTATCAACGTAGCATTTACGTGCCGTAAATTTCATCCAGCAGTCAAGCGATGACGTGAACATTTGTGCTGCAACTATGTTCTGGACGCCAGATGAAATGGAGGTGTCAGCGGTGTAACCACGGCCACGGACTAAACATGGAAATGGAGTAAGTAAAACACACGTTACTAATCCATCGGACGCAGCCGTGGACATCCCTGACGAATCAAAGCTTCCTTAATCAGTGACGATCACATGGTTTTACCGACAAATACTGATGATAGCATGCGTACGCGCCAGAGCATGCGCGTCCGCGATGTGAAAAATGTACTATTGAAAAGTGTCCATAATCTTGTCAATCACCGCGATCTCGCCCAGGCAGCGGTTTTGAACACTGTAAACAACTTGATTTTTTGGACTGCCGGCATCTTCAAATCTAGACACTTCTGTTACACCAGCAGTCGATAACCGCTTGCCGACAAAGCTAATCGCGTTATGGAGTGTAACCGTTTTCGTCGTTACTTATTAACTTACACAGCGGTACATAGATACTCCTAGCCAGTTCGCTCAACACCTTGTACTTACTAGCAATGGCCTTATACTGCCCTTTAATCACACCCGCAATACCGCTTTGTCTCGGAGGGAAAATGCGAAGGTCATGGTGTCAGAACCTTCAAAAGAGCATTCAGCTGTTTCCACTCTCAGCACACGCGCCCCGTTCGACAGTATGCAGCCACACAAATCATGCCCCAGCACACCCACTTCACCCCTCCGAAAACAAGAGACGTACGAGCTTGGCCGAATGAGATTTGCAAGCGCGGCCACTACGAGTGCCAGCCGCCGAGTAACATTGATCCAGGGCCTTAAAGCTGCCACATTGCGATCCTGCCAAAGCGGCCAACTTTCTCCAGGTACCTAGACTAGCAACATACTTCCCACCAGTAGTCATCGCCATGCAACCACCTACCCTCGTATGACAAAATAAACCCAGTGTCTCCCTTTTCCACCTGCCGCTGTCTGCTCTTTCATAAAGGCATTTGAAATACCTCAACGTTGTTCGCAAGATGCTCTCCGATGTTGTTTGACACTTCGCCGTTGCTCTGCACAGCAACCAGCTGTCGAGGCGCGTTCGCTCCGGTACAGCCGGGGGTGACGTCACCGGCTGTAGCCAAAGATGAAAACGTGGACGTCACCTAAGCCATTCCTTTGTGCCGCAAATGTTTGGCAAACAATTTAGCACCGTTGGGCGCCAGATTACCCACCGAATTTCGCACCTCCTCCTCATGTGGGTTGTTAAGCAACACGCCGCCACTTGAAACTCGGGGAGAGCAACTAGAAGTTCTTATCTTCTGCCATCAATGTAGTTTCGTGATTTTGGCCATGACAGCAAGCTACTTGCTTATCTTCCCCTAGTACTGGGAGCCCTCAATACACTTAGGGCCACTCTTTGCCACTCCAAATCATCCTCCCCCTCATATGATCGCATTAGTGGTGGACCTTATCATATCCTATTGGATATAGTCCAAAACAAACCGATTGGTGGTTAGATCACTGTGTGAAATATCCGCCCCCCACCTCTCTGAGGTGCTGTCGAGCTGATGTCAGCTGGCTGTTGGGGAACTAGTGCAGTCAGACAGCGCTCACACGGCCACCCTACAGCACGTGCCGTTCTGCTTGTCTCCCCCTTAAAGGTACACGCTCTCTCCACGACCTAGTCCGTGCCGACCAATTTGAGATGTTGTCCAAAACCGGCCAGCGGGTGCGCCGACAAATCGTGGAGTTGGCAGCCAATATCACGCTACCATGTCGAGTCACATGATTAATCGAAAAGTCAACAGTGGATTAACAACCAATGGCAGCCTCACAGCAGCTT